AGTTCTCGGGATGCGTACTCGACGGAGTCAAGCTCTTTTCCATCCCGGGAGAGTGATGAGGACATCGGATCATGAAAAGTATATCAGAGACGTAGACGACGATCGACGGCCATGATCACACCGATCTATTTTTTATTATTATTGTATTAGTTTTATGTTTTATGAGTTTTGTTATTTTCTTCCGTTTATACCCTTACTTAAAGGGTTTAGTCGTATGTGAGCCCTACGGGCAAGTATGTCTTTTGTTTTCATTCATTATGTCTGGCAATATATAAGCCACTTGTATCTTTTTGGAGGTTAATGAAGAATTACTATTGAAATTTCTGCATGGTGTTCTTGAGAGAGCTTGAGAGAAAGTTAGGGAGAAGGAGCCTAGGAGGCCAAGTGCAATACCCAACAGCCGCCATGGTGAGCTCTTGGTTTTCTTAATTTCCCCATTTATTCCTTCCTCCTTTCCTTCCCACCGCCGGCAAAGCCCTCCCCATGCCATCTCCTAGCCGCCGGCCCGAGCCACTCGCCGCCCCTCTCTTCCCTTGGATCACCCCACTACTCCACCGCCGGCCCTCCTCCACCAAATTCCAACCCGCCTCCCCATCTCTTTCCCCTTGAATCCCATACTAACTTTCCCATTAATACCTTCCATATTTTCCCCCTTGTGTTTTAGGAAAGGATTTGAAATCAAATTCAAAATGATTTGAATTTCAAATGCTTTCTAATTAAGCTTATGCCCTTGAAGAAAATAGTCATCAACCACCCCAAACCTGAGATTAATTCTCAGATTTAGTCATTAATCACAATTCATTGCTTGGTCCTTATTCATTGAATTTGGACATAATTCCCCCCCTCTCTCTCTAGGCCGGCCCACCCCTCCCTCTTTCTCATTATTTCCTTCCATTTATGATTCCCAATCAAATCCCTAAATCAATTCCAATTAGAATTCAAATTAGGCCTGACTTTATCTATTCATTTCTAATTAAACCCATTAATTAGGTAAGCCATCATTTTCCCTCCAGCGGATCAATCTCCAATTTGATTTGGGATTAATTTAATTTACCACATAGGCAAGTAAAGCAATCCTAAATTATTCCTGCTGTTGTCACAAATTCTTCTACATTATTTCTTGCGTTTCCTACATCTAGGGATCCGGAAGCCTGAAATTTTCTACTGTTCAGGCTTCTGGGCCGATCTTGCATGCTGTCCAGAGATCCCCAACCTTACGAGTTGCTGTCCCAGACTTCTAAGAACCAAAACCTGCTGTTTAGACCTCACAAGTTGCTCTTCAAGACCCATAGAACTCAAAACCTGCTGCTCAAACTTCCTTGGGGTGCTGAACAGAGACTTTGGCTTGCTATTCAGGGCATTCCAACAAAATATTGTGCAGTCCAACCAACCAGAAAAGAGCAGGTTGCTGTCCAGCAGCATTCAGGAGGTGCATGTCGTCTTCCCATTGGGTAAAACTCATCCGCCAACTCTTGTTCCTTCCTAGTCTAGTGCTCAATTGTGGTTATTTCTTGATTCATGAAGATCATGCTACTTTTCTCCGCTAAGAAACTTGGTGAAATAGAGAGTTGAGTGAGTGGATTCTCATAGTGATTAAACTCATTGTTAATATAGGAATATCTTGTTGAAAACCACTCCGTATGCTTTGTTTTGGAACTATTGATTATTTGAGATCTTAACTTCATATGTGTAGCTTGGCCTAAACTGAAATCATCCCCACTTTTGTTTCATGTTGTCGTTCAAATCACTTAAAGTTAATTCTTAATATTATTTTCAACAAAGAACGCGTGCAAACTCTTTAATAAAGATCGTTGCTTCATTTTGTTCTACATCATGAACCTTTTGCAATTGTTAGCGTACTCTGTGCATCAGATTTTTTTGTGAAGGATGCTATTAGGGATAGCTTATGTGATTGAGCTAATCCATTTGAAACCCCAAAAATTTTTTAATGCAGAGATTAGGCACAATATCTGTTTTTCACGATTTGTTCTTTGGTCTATGATTTTTGAAAACCCTTCACTCTTGTGTTTATGTATTTTTTTAATAGTCTGATTTGATACTCAGTCAAAAAAGACCAAAATACTCCTATCAAATGTGGTATTTTACCTCCCTGACTCTAATTCATCTGAGTGGGTGGGCCAGTGTGATGTTATGCACAGTTGCTAATTGGACAGCCCACTTCTCTTATCTCTCTGCCCTGAAATACCGGCAGGGTTTTGTATTGATGCCAATTATGATGTTGCCTAGTCCACTTGTGGGGTGAGAGTGATGAGGACATCGGAGATCAACGGCTACGATCTTGAGTTATTTATTTATTTGTTTTTGTACTAGTTTATTTCCTATTGTTGTTTTTCCTTTTATACCCTTACGGGTGGTCATGTAGTGTTGTAGCCCGAAGGACATTTTAGTCTTTTATTTCTTTTCTTTTCATGAGCCTATTTATAGGCTAGTTGTTTTATATTATGGGATGATGATGAATATGAAATTTTCAACTTGTGCTTATGGATCTCTTTGTGAGTTCTAAGTTTTCTCTCTTGGGATGATATCTTAGTGAGTTCGTGAGAGGAGAGGCCTAAGTGGGGCAAAAGCAATACCCGTCAATCTTGGTGGATTCCAAGGTTCGCGGTTCTCTTATCTTTTTTTTTTTTTGTTTTTTTTTCTCTTTTATTGTTCTTCTTGCATCGAATTCCCTCCCCACCCGTCTACTTCCATAGTTTCCACCACCGGCCATCCTTTCCCCCAAATTCTCTCCCAAAATTCCACCACCTCAAGCCCCTGTTTCCCCCAACCCGCTAGCCTCCCCACTCCCTCCCATTAAATTTCCCATAAATGCTTTCCTAATTTGGCTTCCTTAATTTAAGAATAGAATTAAGTTCAAATTCAAATTTGAATTTCAAACTATTCTTAAATTATCATCCCATAAATTAAGAGAAACCTCAAAATAGTTTAAATCTGAAATTCTTAAATTATCATCCCATAAATTAAGAGAAACCTCAAAATAGTTTAAATCTGAAATTAATTTCAGATTTAACTATTCAATCCTCTTAATTACTTGGGCCCACCTCATTACTACCCAACCCCTCTCCCTTCCTCTCTCCTTGGCCGGCCCCCCTAACCTTCCCCTTTTAATTAATTACATCCCATGAATTAGGGATTTAATTAACACAATGCCTTCCTCAAATTAATCCTTCAATCAATTCCCTAATCCACCTCAGCCCTAGCTGCCCTCTCCCAGCCCCTCTTCTCTCTAATGTCTCCTTCCCAAGAGATTCTTGCAAGCTGTCCACGAAATTCCTGCAAAAGGCCTTGCTGTCCAGCACCCTTGGGAGTCACGATTTGCTGTCTTGAAGCTCCTTCACCCTATAGCAGTTGTCTAAGGCTTCTCTAAGCCTTATAATTTGCTGTCCAGATTTCTGGACGGATTCTATAATCTGTCTAGAATTTTTCCATTGTCAACACTGCTGTCCAGAACTCCAGAGATTGGGAAAACTGCTGTCCTGAATATTTCCGATGAGATGAGCTGCTGTCCTGCTCTCCAGGAACCCATGTTTGCTGTCCTGAAAAGTTACAGCTGCTGTTCCAAGATTCTAGCAGTTTTCTAGTGCTGATTCGCCAACCCGAAGGCTCTCATTGGTTGCACAGAAGATCCCACACGGCTGTCCTCACGCAGGACTTCTTCAAGTTCAGCCACCGGACTCCGGATCTTCTCCCTCGCCCTCAAATCAGATCTAAGAATTTGACGACGGTGAACTCTTCCCCAAATCTCCTATTTTCCTAGTCTCTCTCAATTATGGTTTAGTTGATTCACCTAGATAATGTTAATTCTCATCCGCTATAACCTAGTGAATTAGATAATTGAGGGAGTGGATTCTTATAGTAACTAAACTCATTATTAGTTTAGGGATCATCATTGAAAACCAATCATGTATGCATCGTTAGATTAAATTGATTGTTTTACGATCTTAACTCCTTTGTATGTGATTTAGCCTAAGCTCGTTTTACCCCTCTTAGTGTTTTCTTTTGTCGTTAGAAAATTCATTGTGAAGATATGATTATCGTGCCTTCTAACACTTACGCGTGCAAACTCTTCAAGTAATTCAACTTTGCATGATCGTATCACATCAGAGTGATTGCTAGAGGAAGATTTAAGTTGAAAAACAGAGGGCTAAATTATACAAAATCTAAAAAAAGAATGAAGAAGTATCTAATTTAATAACACTAGAGGTATATTGTCATAATTATCTTGATGGGTCACGTGAAGGTGAAATCAACCTTTACTACCAGACTGTGGCAGTTCCATGGAAAGTAAATTGATTTCTGTCTTGAGAGTAAGAAAGGTTAACAAAATTGTATTTGTAGTATTTAGATGTAAAAAACCACAATAATTTATTATTATTTGGTGTATGAGGTCTTGATCATTTAAAACAACAATGCATGCTTTATGGATATATCTTTACAAATTTTCCTACTTAGACAATATGTTGTTGCTATACATTCGTGCACCTGAGGGGGTTGACAATGATTTTTAGATATATATTTTTTTCAAATAAGGACGGATTATCGACCAAACTATCTAAGCTCATGAAAGGGGAACAACAAAACAAATTGTCTGGGACCAAAGTGCAATAGGCTCTGGAAAATATCATGTATGGGCATCTGCAATCTACTATGAAGTTAGTAATATATGAGAGAGTGACGGAGGTCAAATGCTAAACTTTCTGAAATTGTGGACTTGTGTTTAAAGCCACCGTCAACTTAAGAAACTAATCAGTGATATAATTTTTCCCTTTATTTATGTTTTTTGCAGACTTTGATCTATGATTTTTTGAATTATCATAGCATAGATGCTTTTGTCTTATGGATGATACTATATATCTATATTTTCCTAGTTAAAAATTTGCTTCATGCTTAATTCAGGGAACAGGTCTATATTTATCTTATTGATGATACTATATACCTATATTTTCCTAGTTAAAAATTTGGTCCATGCTTCAATGCAGGGAACAGGTCCAGGAATTATGGAGTCAGATATTGAGACTTCTCGCCATTGTATATCTAGCTATTTGTCCTCACATACTGCTTATAGTTTGCTTCCAGATTCAGGAAAGGTATACGTGTGTGGTCTGTTTCTTGCGAATCCATGTTCTAGTTGAGAATATTCCAATATCTGATTAGTATTATAATGAATTGAAGGTCATTGCTCTGGATGTTAATTTACCAGTGAAGCAAGCTTTCCATGTCCTTTACGAGCAGGTAGGCATTCCATTTTTCCTTCTAGTCTACAGTTGAATTATCATTTCTGGATGCATTCAGTTTACTACCTTGAAAGACTTCTTCGATAAAAATATTTTTAATTTGTCTAGATTTATTATTATTTTTCCCGCTTTACTTTGATTTTCATTAATTGTCATAACATATGTTATTCGACGTTGTTAAATAGAAGGAATGTTATGATGAATTGCCTTTTTTTTTCAGGGCATCCCAGTAGCTCCTCTGTGGGATTTAAACAAGGGTAAATTTGTTGGAGTGCTAAGTCCACTTGATTTTATATTAATTTTGAAGGAGGTATGCATGTAATTATTACCTACGTTACCTGCACAACGTTTATTGATGGTTATAAATTCCCGTAATAGTTGTTTGATACCTGTACAAATTTGGATTGGGCCTCTTTTCTTTGATTTTACCTTTTTTGCATGCTACTGTTATAGAAAAGAAAAAATGCATGACTGCTTTGCAGCAATTTCTTTCATTTGTCTGCTTCCAACGGAGTGTGCTTTAGAAATTGTTTATCTTGTTGAGTGGATGGATGTTAGTGTACTAACATCCTCACTGAAGAAAAAAGAATTAAACAACTTAAACATAGATATATTTCTGCTTGTCAAATAACTTCCCTATTGGGCAAGTATTACGCGATAATCTGCAGGAATTTTGAACGTGATGGTGTTTGCCTGTTGGAGTTTTGACATTTTTGAAGTTTATCTGTTGAGTTGAATCCACGCTGCTTCTTCCATCCTGGGCTACAGTACCTTGACATTGTGTTTGTCTGGTTCTTGATTTCCTTGCTTTCTCTTTCAGTAGGTTTTTTTATTTTGCATTAACAGAAATAGTTTCCAATACATTTTGTAGTGCTACTCTTGTTTGACATCTATAAAACTTTTTGCTGGGTATTTGATGATAGTCGACACTTTTTGCTGTGTATTTGATGATAGTTGACAGTGGTTGTGCTAATTCGCTTTAAGGGAGGCCGTAGCTTCTTGTTATTTGTTGTTGGCGATCACATATGTTTTGTTCAGATGCTTAAATATAATGAAACTGCTTAGTACAATTGTATTTTCTCTAGTTTGTCAGTTACTATCTATTATCGGATTTGTATTGTTTCATTTTCGAGCTAGCTTCAATAGCAAAATAGATGGTTCCCTTTTTAAGAGCAACTATAGATATTGTTTGCAGTAACTATATTATATTCTTTATCAGACAGTTTTGGTTAAGTGTACAATCCAAGTATCCTCGTGATTTTTTACTTGTAGCCAGCCATTGACATGCTTCTTCGTTTAGCTATAGGATCCTCTCAAGCTAATTTTTTGTTTGATATGTATGTTGGTATGTTTTCACTCCTATTCTATTACTTTTAAGATTTCCAATTTGGTATTCTCTGAACGGAGCTTAGATACTTTATTTGATATTGATATTTTATTTTATCTGGCCAGATTAATCATTAATTATATAACTAATAATATTGATCTTGATAGGTATAGTTTTGCTTCGAGCTTCATATTTGTCTTAAATTTGATTTTAAGAAGGCACACTATCAAGTTAGGTCAGTTTATGAAGATTCTTATTGACACGGCAATGATGAAAAAAAAAAAAAAACTGAACAAGCTAAATTTCCCATTATAAAAACCAGGTGGCACAAACAACAGAGAAAATTAAGATACCGTTTGACTAAAGAAGTATTCTAAACTTGGATTCAAGAACCTATCACGTTAGCTTTCCTCAAGATTGTTCATCCACATTGTCCTAATTCAACTTCCGGAATATGATTACAACAGAGTTAATTCTCTAATATATATACCCAAACCAAGATCCAAGAATAGTTTAGCTCTATGTTTTTTCCTTGCCTGGGTGGGTGCATCAATTGGTGGTAGGTGAAAGTGACTGAATCGTTGTTTCCGGAGACCATGCAGATTCTTGAGTACGGTAGGATGGGTTTCCCGCAACTGCAGGCTTGACTTTCTGCTGCTGGAATTTAATTCAGCCCACCTGCCATGTTTCCAAATGCCAATTGGGTAGATGACCATTCACAAATATGTGATCTAAAATGAACAAATTAAATGAAAAACAGAGAATCTGATGACGGGTGGTATTCTTGATTTAAGAAGTTGAGAATCTCCTCTTGTTCAAACAGTTTCTAGCGGCCTGTATACTGGAAATCCTGCTGGTCAGTGCTTGTAGGGAACTAAGATGCACTGCAGTACTCTATTCTCAAGATTGTTTGGACTACAAAGTTCTATGAATGAAAAAACAGAAAAATTCAAAACATGGTGGTTCTTTATTTAGGATAACTGAAACCCTTCAAAGAATTTTCAGGATTTCCCTGCATGTGATCTGATGCAGCCTTCTGGAGTTGCAGAACTGCAGCTAGTACCAGCTGCCAGCCTTGAGCTGATTGGCAAAAATGCCTGGGAAGGAATGAAGATGCCACATATTGCTCATCCAAGTAAGGAAACACCTATCATGTGTTGACCTATGTATAAAGAAGGAATAGCGAAGGAATGGAGGCTTCTTGCTGCTCTCGACTCCAAGCCACACGCGAACTCTCTCTCCATCTTGACCCCCTTGCTTCTTCGGCCCAAAGAGAGAGAGAGAGAAACATAGAGAGCGAGGGAGAGGGATTTCCCAACCTTGCCGAAAGCCTAGACCCGCCGAGCTTCCTCCGACCTCCCCTACCCGATCTCCTCCTTTCACGACACTCCCTCTTCCCTCCGCCTCCCTCGATGATGTCCCCTTCCTGTTAGGGCGAAAGTCACAACATTTTGATTGGAACCAATGGGAGCTCGCGTGTGCTGAAGGTAACTTTCTCCTATTTGAGCACTTCTTCGGCCAAATCCCGCGATTCTGCTGAGGAAGATAGAGGATTTAACTCACTGTGATATTAATAGTGAATTCTCATTAATAGTTGGTTTATCATTAAATCTTACTTTAAACTTGTTAATTTTTTAATTAATTATTATGTAATTATGATTAATTAACTAATTATAATTAGTTAATATTTAATAATTAATTATAAGTTATAATTAGTTAATTAATTATAATTAAATATTATTAATTATAGTTAATTATTAATTATGATTGTAATTAATTAACTACTTATAATTAATGAATAATTAGTAATTAATTATAATTATATAATTAATTATTATTAATCATAAGTTAATTATCAATTAATTATGATTATAATGGATTAATTAATATTAATTATAATTTGTTAATTAACTATGCTTAATTATAGTTAATTGTAATTACTTATAATTAATTATAATTAAAAAAAGAGGAATGTTCTCCTCTTGTTCACTCGCCTCAATCTACGTGCCGACCCCGCGCAGGTATAACCCCTTAACCCTAAAACTCCTAGAGCTTGTTTTCATTGTTTGCGGTGGACCAGAAAACTGCCTATACACGCCTTTATTGCGTGTGGTGGGATGGGATTCTGGTGCGGCGCCTACAACGAGGCGGGTAATCATCTTAAACTTCATTTCGGCATTAGTGCTGCACCGAAAAATTGCCTATACACGCCTTTATTGCGCGTGGTGGGATGGGATCTAGGTGCAACACCTACGACGAAACGGGGTTATTTATAAGTAACCTCGAGCGGGGGGGAAGCAAACTGCCTTTTTAAACAGGTACTCTCGAAGACCCCATACACGCCTTTATTGCGCGTGGTGGGAATGAAGATCACGGCCGCAGTGTCTAAGGATACCTACTATATACCTTTATTGCGTGTGGTGGGAAGGCCCAATTTATCGTAGTTTCCCCTAAACGGGGGAGACGACGGGAGGCTGCCGAAATTTCGGGTGAACACGAGACTGTACCTGAACTTGATTGAAATCAAAAGGACAATGGGAGACTTGTGAGCTTGGACTTGAATTGGATGTAATGGACAAAGTGAACTCAAATTTAAAATGAATTTGAACTTAAGTAAATAATAATGAAATTTCATTTGAACATTAAACAAGATGAACTCGAATTGAACTCAAACTTATGGACATAGAACTTAGAGCTTGCTACTTGAACTCAAGCAAGGACTTGGTTTGGACAACAAGATTGGGACTCAAGCTTGGATAAGGATTTGAACTACATGTACTTGAACTTAAACTTGAGCTTGAATGAACTTTAAAGAACTAAACTCATAGTGGCATGGAATTTGAAATGAGCAAGGATCAAATAAATGTGAACTTGATATTGGATAGATGAATGTCAAAGTGCAAATAGAGATTTGTAGGTAACATCAGTAAAATGCTGAATATCATTGGTGTTGAGCAACACTCCAAAGTTGGACTTCATGCAAGCAAATGTTAAGTGGAAAATGCGATGACATGCCTACAACCAATAGCATGAAGTTTCCCACAAAATAACTATGGAACTTGCTCAGCAGAAAATTAAAGAAAGAAATCAGTGTGAAAATTTAATTAGCTGTTTTTTTTTGTAAAAACATTACTTGAAAAATAAAATATTTAAACTTTTACAAAATTAAAATTAAAAATTTATGTCTATCACAAGTATATTTACGTCTATTGCAGCACACTGGTAAATTAACACACAACAGTATATTATATCTTATAATCTCAAAAAAAATTATAATAAGATAGTGTAATAAATAAACACACTGGTTTTATTTTATAAAAACAAATAATACTAAATAGTATAAATACACTACTTTTATAAATACACTAGTTGTAATGCTAAAATAAATTATTACAAATACACCGCTTTTACTTTACTCTGGATATACCTAATCAAATAAGGGAAATAGTTCTCCTGCATTTATTTTATAGACAACCAAACAGCCTCAAAGTATTCGGAATGCTACATTTACTTTACATTGCATTTACTTTACACTGCATTTCTTTTTCAGGCAACCAACTAAAACTGGAAATTTCTTTGGTTTGACAATATCCTTTTGTGGTTCTTTATGCCCACCACATCAGCTAATCTTTTTTAGTATTATGTTAAGTTTTCATTTGTGTATAACTATAGCAAAAAAGCACGAGTTTCCCTACAAGTTTTTTTGGTTGAAATATGATATATTCGGTGAGTCAAAACGTTGAATCTGAAATCGGACTATTGTTTAGTCACACAAACTTTGATTTTTTTTTGTTCATTAGTATTATATCCTGAATGAATCATCCAATCATAGTGGTTAAGCTTTGTTAACTGATCGAGTTAGTTCAACTAGTCTATCCTTCGGTCTTAACATTTTTGGGGACTTCAGAGAAAAACCTTTTGATATGACCAAGCAATCCGACTTTCTGGCAGTCCCTTGTACTGTGACGTTGAGTGATGGCCCCTATTTTTCCCCCTTATCTGGCTTTTACAACACTTACAAAAAAATAAAACCATGCACTCAGATACCCCTTTCTTTAAAAAATTACTATTTTGTTATCTTGGTGACTTCCTGATCTCTCACTCTCTAAGGTGTAGAGGTATAGATCATGCTTGACACAGGTGTGCAATCATGCAAAGACATCAAACCTTTCGTTATTGGTTTCAATTTTCATCGTTAGCTAAGTGCCACTTCCCTTATGCCGGTGATCTTTCAATAGTTTCCTCAAAAAACTTTTTTTCTTTCTGCTTCTTTCCTTATAAAAAACTGACTTGTCAATTAACAACACTTATTCCCTGATGTACTTGCTGGTTCCCTCTACAGCTACGTGCAGCTTTTGTCCCCATTAACCAATCCTTTTATTTACCTCCAAGACAGCCCTGTTTTCCCTTATCTGTCATAACTCTCTCTTCCTCCTAGATGTTGCACCAGCACTCCTATTTCTCTCCATTTCCTACATTTTTCTCTACCTTTCCTTCTTCTGCCCTTTCTCTCATGCATCTTTCTAATTGGTACATTCCTCCTGTTTATGTTTGAAACATGTGCTTGTGGTTGGTGATTTAATGATTTTGTTGAGAAGTAGTGTTTATCAAACAGGATTATGTAGGAAGCGTTGTTTATCTTTGCACTATGTATATGAGACTCAATTATGATTTATGAGGCGTGGAATCACAAAATTCAGATTTTTATGTTGACCACTGTACTGGGTTAGAAGTGCCGCCTGTCTACGTCTACGCTCTCTTATGTAACCTTCTTTTGTCACGCATGCTCACTTTTCATGTCCATACTTGTTTTTCTTACTTTTTTTTTCCATTTATCTTTGTTTTTTTAATGTGTGTTTCATTGTATCCTGGTTACATTCTTGTGTTTATTGTAGCTTGGGAATCATGGTTCCAATCTGACGGAAGGGGAGCTCGAGACTCACACAATAGCTGCTTGGAAATCTGCAAAGCAACAAATCAGCAGGCAATTTTATCCACATAGTAAATCAGGCCAAAGAAGTTTGGTCTATGTAAGTTTAGATTTTTTGCCTCATCTCTTGCGTGGTTGTCCCTGATACTTATGCATTATACATACTTAATATACTAGTGAAATTTTGCATTTCAAAGTGACTGGAAGGCCTTTAATCTTTTAAATACACTAAATGGAGATACGTGTTCGTCTTGGTGTTCTTAAAATGACACTCATTAATTGAAGGTTTTAACTTTGATCAGATGTCTAAAATTGATCTTCAAAGCTTGTCTACATAAACTGCGTTAAACATTCTTTTTGTCCAGAACTTTGATTAGAAGATTTCTTAGATTGATATTCAAAGCATTCTACTTTTTCTTATCTTAAGAGTTGTCCCTTATCTTAACGTTCTACTTGGTTCCTTTACACTGGATTTGAAATTTATCTCTGGATATTGTAGGCTGGTCCATTTGATTCATTAAAAGACGTGGCTCTGAAGATTCTGCAAAATGATGTGTCCACAATTCCTATTATACATTCATCAGCACATGATGGATTTTTTCCACAACTGTTGCATCTAGCATCTCTTTCCGGGATACTTAAATGTGAGTTTTTATATATCTTGTTTACATGGATGTTTTTTTTACTCTGTTAAAATCCAAACTCTAATTAATTCCGTGCACCTGACTTTGTTGGCTTTGTTTTTTTTTTTTTTTCAGGCATATGCAGGTACTTCAGACATTCTTCTCGTTGTTTGCCTATTCTGCATCAGCCAATATGCTCTCTTGCCATAGGTACTTGGGTACCCAAAATAGGGGAATCAAATACTAAGACGCTGACTATGTTGAGACCAAATGCATCTCTTAGTTCTGCTCTAGCTTTGTTAGTTCAAGGTGGGCCTAAATCTATTTATCTGTACTTGTTCTATTAGAAAGCATTTCCTGTTGTTCTTGTATTATGATGCATTCTGACATATTTGAGGTATGAATACTTGGTATGGGATTGCTTTTTTTTTTTCTTTCAGTATCGACATGGTCTAGATTACAATTTATCTGATTATAAATTATAATTGCAGTCTATCAGTTGCTATTTATTTTTTGTAGTTTTATTCCCTATGAAATGATTGATTTGACTTTTAGAATGGCTTTAGTTGATTCTATCCCGTCCTCTATTTTTTTTCCTCATTCTATTATTTATCAAGAGGGCTTCTTATGAAGTTGGCCAACACGTAGATAGTAGCAATGTCTGGGTAGATTAAAATCTGAATAGTTGTGAGGATGCCAATAAGTCAAAGAAGTGACATCCATTCCAAGATAGCATGAAACTCAAGATGAAGCTTAACAGACAAACTAAGCGGCGTTGGCACTTGTTTCATAGAAATAGGTTTTGGTGATGATTAAATCTCATGTTTTCTTTCAGAGTTGTCAGGTGTTATTATTGAAGGTTCATGATTGTTAATCATGGAGAATGGGTTTATTTCTCTGATGATTTTAATTACCAGTTAACTGATGATAGTTGATTTTTCATTATTCTATTTATTTTATTTTTGAATTATCTTACTTGATCCATAGTTTGGGGTTGTTTAATTCCATGTGTTGATGGAAATATAGAAGTTTATGCTCGTTAGAAGTGCAAGATTGACCTTTTCCATAGATTACATGCTTGCATTTGTGCCCCGTCTTCTGTAGACGTATTCCTCTTATCTTTCATCCATTTCTTAATGGGTTGAGTTTATAATGTAAACTCAATGGGTAATCATCATTAAATATACAACAGTAAATCATGTATATAAGTAAATATACATCTTTCTTCAACATTACATAATTAATATATGCATCTTCTTTAATTTATTATAAGTCTTATAATTTCACATAAGTTCTTTCATATTCTGTCTCATTTGACCATTTCCACTTAACATAAATTTAATATTTAATTTATTTTCATTAGTATAGGAGCACCGTCTAAATGTATCAATAACGGTACAATCATTTTCATTTTTTTTTACGTGCACGGGTACGTTGCTTCCCTAGCCAACACCATACGTGGGTGAACTCCTGTAATTTGCATGCATATTCTTTTCCTTTTTTCATTTGTTGATTTATGCTTTTATTTATGATATAGGTTATATATTTCTTTACTCATTCTTACTTGTATTCTTATGTATATATATATATATATATATATATATATATATATTTCAACTTCACTTTTTATTTCCTTTACATATGTATTTATATCCATAATATCATGTATTTGATACACATTTCTTCTATCATATTCATATAATATCAATGATTCATCATCATATATGCATTTAAATCATTTTGCACACAACAACATCAAAATATAAGTAAAATAATTATTTAAACATTACCTTTAGAATTTAAATAGAAGTTCAATAATAAAATGTCTATACAAAATTGTAATTACCCACTTTGAATGTTTTAGCTTCAACTCCTTTCAAACCTTCAACTCTTGCGACGATTTTTTTACTACAATATAAATTCACATACAACATATTATTACCATTTTTTAATTTTCATTATTCCCATTTAGATTATACTTTAATAAATTCTTACCTCCAATCTCCTTGTTGAGATTTGCTATGTGCTTCAGTTGTCACCTTTGTATAGTAGGTTAACTAATTCTCCACTTCCAAAATACTTTTAATTAATTATTGATGAACAATCTACAAATTCAATGTCACAATAAGTGTGATTTGACTAAGAACCTTAAAAGTAATATTGAAAGCTTCCATAAAAATTCTAAAATTAATTAAAGTTGATTGCTTCAATCATTTACCTCAATCTTTTTTTTTTCACTTGGATCGAGGCTCATCACCCATTAATTGGATTCATTCCTGTGACATAAATCCAAAATTTTTCATATACTTCTTATGAATTAGAAATCTATAATTATGAATCTAAAATAAATATCTTACTTGTTCCTCGCTGTAGAAAATAAATGCTCTCTTCTTCTTTTCCAAAAACTTTCTCCCTTTCCTTCAATTTCTTCCTTTCCGCATTAAATCTCTTCCTTTCCCTTCAATTAAATATCCCTCACTGTTTAGATGAGGAATTAGGGAATGATTTATACATAAATGGGGAAAATCAACATTTGCTCACTTTCCTCTCAGCCGCTTCTCACGACAGTTCTTCTAATTTTTGCTTCTTTCGGTATAAGGAAAGAAGAGGAGGGAGTTATACTTAGAGAGGAGTCGTCTTATTTCATTCCCGTACTCAATCCTTTGCTCAGAATCACGAATCGAGCCACCCAGACTCTCCCACGATTGTGTTCGGTCCGCTCCAGGCACGCTGTTTTGCCTCCATCTGTCGCGGGTTTAAACATTAGGGCTGACGAACCGGCAAGTTAAACCGGTTCATACATAGACCCTAGAACATTCTATATAATGTTGTTATTAGAGCTTATGGTTGCATTATGTTAAGTAGAAGTATAACGTTAATTAGGTTAATAAAAAAATAATTGATGCAATTTAGATTGAATTAGGTAATTTATAGTTTTTTAGAAGAGCACATCCCCATTATTATGAGGATCAAAATTATATTTCTATATTTGATGTGAGGTAGAAATTTAAAGAATTTTTAAAATCGATTGATAATTTGGTATGCTTTTGATATTAATGTCTAATTGACCTTTAAAAAGTATTAAGTTATTGAACAAAATTAGTGGCTTGGATATTATTTTATAATTAACTTTGAAAAAGTTAAAAGTTACGAAGACAAAATTAGTGGCATGTGCTGAAATATTTTGGCAATGTGTTGCGTCTGAAATAAAAAGTTCTCAATCCATCAGAAGTGATATTTTAGCTATTTAGGCAGATAATATTTATATGGTTTATTTGCTTTAAATTTTCTATTACCTCATCATTTAGGCATAAGTTATAAATCATTATTAATATCAATTAAGATATATATTTGCATTTTTAGTGTCTTTATTTTTAGGTTCACATTGCATTTGCCATTTGATGAATTGCATAATTCGGATGATTTGCATGAAGTTATTCAAGGGAACTTACTTATTTTGTGCAAAATATAAATTTTTTATTGTGAATATGAAACATCTGGAATTTAAACCAAGTGATAAGATATTGGTACATCATCCTCAAAAGATTTCCTACATGTAGTTAATTGTTATTTATGACATATAAATCTACTATGTTGAACACATGGCGCTTAAACCAAGTGATCAGGCAGTCTGCATTTGAATCCTGAAAGATTTTATGCAGGAACCTTCAAGAAATTAACGTAAAGAAGGCAAGGTCATGTCAAATCATATAATCTATTGTGATGAATTCATGTAAATTAAAAAATTTGGGAAGTTCTTGTATTACTCCAGACTTCAATGCATATGATTTGATCTTATTTCTCAAACTTCCTACCAATGTTTTAGCTTCTTCTCTATTCCTTCACAAATTCATATGACTCATATCTAGCACTTCACCATATTGATCTACTCAACTTGTTCCTGAAGCTATTCTGAGCAATGTTTAATGATGGTGGATATCAGAAGTATTCTGAAGCCATTGGCATGACAATACTTTTGATGATCCATGTATTTGTTTGCAGAAAATACAACAATTATGCTTAAATTTGCTTGACAAATATCAGATTCTTAATTCCTCTGAATTTTTGAAGTTTGGAAGATTTAATGGAAAGCCTAAAGTTCATGCTTATTGAAAAAGCACATGATGGTCCATCAAGATTTGTATATTGACATTCTGATTGTTTGGCTTTCTGGTTGTCTTATTATTATTATTTTCCAGTTTGTTTTTCCTATTGTAACATATCTGTGATGTTGATATCTTTGAGAATGGGATGTGCTTTTCAGTGTTTTGAGTATGTCGGTGAGTTTGATTTACTGCTGCAAGTTTTTTCTGCAGTCGGATTCCTCTTATCACTTTGCATCCAACTCCATATTTTGTTCAACCTAGTGATTTGTAGCATTGATTCCTTTCATTCCTTAGTATACACTGTAGTTGGGATTGGCTGCTCTGTTTCCTTCTTCAACTGCTTTATTCCTTTCTCGAGTATTGCAAATTATCTGGCCTCTGATTTTCGATTGCTGTCTCGTGCTGAACTTGTGCTAAAAACATGTTGCGACCTGCTTTCGAGTTCTTCTTGAGAGATTGATTCATATATACCAATTGATTTGCCTGCTGTAGCTATTGTTGCTTCTTTGTTTTCTGTTCAAGTCAAATCGCTTGTTGCCACTAGCAGTGAATTGGATACATTGTTTGGGTTGAAAATTTTGGATTATTGTGTTGAAAAATTGCAACTTTAAACCAGAGATTGAGAAACGTCTGATTTTGGGTCATTTTTGGGTTATTAATAAGATCTTTCTTCATAAATTTTGATATGAATTACTAAATAGAATTATTAATTTTCTCTCAATCTTGTATGTGTCGTTGAATGTGGATTCTTCGAGTGTGTTGCAAGTCTTGATGGCATCCTCTATTGGATGTTTTTCCATATACTGCTGTAGCATGAATGTTCTAATTTAATTTATGATTCTTATTATTATCTCGTCATCTAATTATTTTTTGATTGAATTTGCATGCGTTATTGAAATTTTGTTAAGCTGGCTACATATTTGTTTTTTCTCATTTAGGCGAGGATCTTAAATTGCTGCAAGGGTTTTACTCATTTTTGAAATATACGTTTTCTTACAGGCAAATTAATAGAATTAATAGATATTATGATTCATAGGAAGATAAATATTTTATGCATTCGAAAAACTAAATGAGTTGGAGAGAAGGCTAGGAAGATTGATAGTTTAGGATTTAAACTATTATATTTAGGTAGGAGTTGTGCTAGATGTGGAGTAGGTGTGATTATTGATAAATTTTTGAAGGATAATATGGTATAAATTAATCGAATTGGAGATAGAATTCTAGTTTTAAAGATAGTTGTTGATGCTAATATTATTAATATTATAAATGCTTATGCTCCTTAAGTAGGTTTGGATATGTGTTCAAAATTAAAATTTTAAAATGACTTGGAAGAATTAATATAAAAGATATCTCTTGAAGAAAGTATTTTTATTGAAGGAGATTTAGATTGACTTGTTGATAGAGAGGTAGAAATTTTAAAAGCATTCATGGTAGTTATGGGTTTGGAGTGACTAATAAAAGTGATAGGATTATATTAATTTTTATCTAGATTATGATTTTATAATTGCCAACGCCTTATTTAAAAAAGAGAGGAGCAACTCATCGCTCATAAGAATGGATATAGTAAAATTCAGATTGATTATTTTTTTATAAGAAAATTAGATCATTTAGATTGCAAAATTTTTTCAAACGAAATTTTATGTACCTAGCATTGCTTATTATTTTTGAATTTTAATATGAATGGACACAATATGAAAAATAAAGTAAAATATTATCATAAGATTAGATGAGAGCATTTAAATAACATAAACAAAATAATTTTAAGAGTAATATTCAAAATGTTAAGATTATGTCTGTACATGAAGAAGTTAATATTATGTGAGAAAAATTAATTAATTATATTAAAATTGTTGCAAATGATATGCTTGAAGTATCAAAAAGAAAAACTCTTAATTGTAAAAATAGTTTGTGGTGGAATCAAAATGTGTTAGAAAAGATCAAATTGGATTCTTGCCAGGTAGGTCTACTATGGAAGTTATACATATAGGGAGAATAGTGAGGATCTGCATATGATATTCATTGATTTATAGAAAGCTTATGATAAATTTCCAAGATAAGTGCTATGGAGAGATTTAGAAAAGAAAGAGGTTAATAATGTTCATACTCAAGTCATTAAGGATATGTATGCAGGAGTTGTTATTTGAGTTCAAACACATGGAGGGTGGACCAAGTATTTTCCTATTTTACTTGGATTACATCAATGATCAGCTTTAAGCCCATATCTTATTGCTTTAGTCATAGATGTTCTTACTAGACATTTGCAGGAGGATGTACCCTAATATATTCTTTTTGCTGATGTTATTATTCTTTTTGATAAGATTAGAGAGGGAGTTGAAGTTAAACATGAATTATGGAGTTCAACTTTAGAGTCTAAAGGTTTTTGTTTGAGTAGATCTAAAATCGAATGTATGGTTTGTAATTTTAGTAGTAATAAATCTAATGGGTGATTGTGACTTTGGGCGATCAAGTCATTAATAAGAGTACAAATTTTAGATATATTGGGTCTATTGTTCAGAGTGATGGTAAAATAGATGGGGATATTATTAGCAGAATTCAAGTTGGATGGTTGAAGTGGAGGAATGCATCGTGCCTGTTGTGTGATAGAAAAGTACCCCTCAAACTTAAGGGAAAATCCTATAAGATTGTTGTGAGACCTGCGATGCTTTATGGCGCAGAATGTTGGCCATTAAAAGAGAAGCATACAATTAAGTGTTGCAGAGATGTGGATGCTCAAGTGGGTGAGTGACTTTGCTTTTAGAGATAGAACGCGAAACAAGCATATACGGGAAAAGGTTGGAGTAGCTCCAATGGAAGATAAGATTAGAGAGAGTCACCTTAGATGGTTTGGTCACATAAAACATTGGTCTTCTGATGTTCCAATTATGAGAGTAGATTAATTAGATTTGGTCTATATGTTAAGAGCGTAGAGGTAGAACTACAAAGATTTGGTTAGAAAATATTAGAAATGTCTTTCTTTATTAGATTTAAATGAGAATTTGACTCTTAATTGGACACAATGGAAAATAATGGTTCATGTAGCCTACCCCACGTGGTGGGATAAGGGCTTGCTATTGTCGTCATTATAATTGTTGTGGAATTTCATATTTTGCTGACTTTTAAATTGTTGTTTGGAGTGAATTTAACGTGTTTTAAAGTTTTTCATTAAAATATGCTAATCTCTACAAATGAGTTGGAAAAGTGAATATTTTTGTACTTAATTTAATATTGCATTAAAAACTTTAGACCTTAAGATTTTAAGATGTCCTGAATCTTGTACCAAGGCATTTTGATGCCCTTGGTTTTTTATAAGACACAAGTTGCACGAGTCTCTGTAATCTTGGTTACATGATCGTCTTTTTTTGGGTAATTGATGGCCAATGGCGCTTGTGATTATGGAAAATTTGTATATGAAAGGGAGTTGCATGCATTCAATAGGAATGATGGAAATAGGAGGATTTACAAAGCAGGCAAATAGCTAGGATGAAACTCGTGAAATAAAAAGCAAGTTTATTTTGTGATGATTATTTCCTATCTTGAACTAACTACTTATACTCATATTTGTGTGTAAAAATAATAAAAAAATTCTTCTATGTATATTTTACTGATTTTGCTAGCATGACTAACCCATTGCATATACATGTGTTTGTGTTTGATGTTCATATATACTGTTGGATAAACTCTTTAGTTTGTCTTCCACATGATTAATCCATCTGTCCAAGCATGAATCCCAAGCAATGTTCCTTTAATGCCTGGAATCGGGGTAGTTAAAGGGAAAGAGTATGATATGTTCTTTTGAGATTTTTTGCAGTTGACTGACAATAGTTTTGCACTAGAGATTAGATGGTTGTGTTGAGTGGTGGTTCTTGGAGAATTTTTTGTTCTGATCATTATGGCTTTCCATATTGCTTACTCTCTGGTGGCTGACATTATGGCTTTAAATGGGCTGGATTTTGGAAATATTTCCTCAATCTCTATCAAAGTGGAAGTGTTTCTTCTGTGGAGATCCAGTTCAGTTTGCATGAGTCCTATCATGTAAGTGACAAGAATTGGAGGGAGGGAGGGGTGGAATGAGCAAGTGAGAGAGTGATGGTGGGCAGGGAGGTCGCAGTGGGTGGTGGAGAGGGGAGTGTAATCGAAGGAAATTGTGGGCACGCAATTGGAAAGTGGAGGTAGGAGGAAACTGTAGGAAGGTTGCAATGGAGCAGGTAAGAGGAGGTCGCAGTAATGTACCATCTGAATTTATTACTTGCTTTTAGGAAAGTGGAGGGAGTTGAAGTTGGGCTTGGTAAATTTAACACACCATGTTTTAGGTTGAGTTGAAACTTGAATGGGTCGACTTTAGAAGGATAACTAAGAAGAAAAGTAGAGATCGTCTACAAAAGAGTGATGGGTGGGAAGAGAGAACTCTAGTTGTGGTGCTTGGTACAGCTGTAGCCATGGCTGCATTTGGTGGATCTGTTGGTTTTTCTAAGGAGAGAAGCTTGATGGCTTGGTTGGAGGATTTGAAAGAGAAGGGTGTTTTGGCGGCTTACCAATTTTAATATATATTAATGTTTAGGATTAGTGGTCTTAATTTTGATAAGTGTGTGCGGGTTTTTGGATACAAGTATCATCTGTCTTGACCTAGTTTCAAGATAACAAGTGGCAAATGGTCAATGGATCGCTTGGCCTGAGATTTGAAGTTTCTTGCAGCCATTTTGGATGTTAGGTAGGTTCGAGTTATAACTTAACTGTACATGCCCGCAGCATCTATTATTTGGACTTGCTCCAAAACCCACAATGACATAAAAAGAAATATAAACACCCAACACGAGATAACTTCGCTATGTTAAAACATATTTGCATTTGTATTTACATGTCAGTGAACTCTGATGTTATACTAACAATTTCTTTATGTGCTTCTTCTGTAGCTCAAGTTAGTTCAATTCCTGTGGTTAATGATAATGATTCTTTGTTGGACATTTATTCAAGAAGGTACCTAATGTTGTACTCATTGCTCTGTATTGCCATTTTTATCTCATTTATTCTTAAACTGAAGAAGATGATTTACTGATTTTACCTACAGTGACATCACAGCTTTGGCCAAGGACAAAGTCTACACCCATATTCACCTTGATGAAATGAGTGTATACCAGGTAAATACTATACACTGCTATTGACCTGTTTTTTAAGGATGTAAAAGTTCACATCTTTATTCCCTTTTGCTCAACATTAATCAGAGCATTTTACTTGCAATATACCAAAAGACCCAACAAATTGAAATTGAAATTAATATTGTACTGATTTCAGGCTTTACAACTCGGGCAAGATTCTACCAAGCCCAATGGATTTTTTGGGCAAAGATGCCAGATGTGCCTTGGTACTGATACCCTGCAGAAGGTGATGGAGCGACTAGCAAACCCAGGTAACCGTTTGACACTATTATGAAACAACTAACTAAACCAGTTTCTTGTTAAGCCTCAACTCTACCTGCTTATTTGCTTTCAGGTGTTCGCCGTGTCATCATAGTAGAGGCTGGCAGCAAGCGGGTCGAGGGTATTATTTCGCTCGGCGACGTCTTCAAGTTTTTTCTTGGTTCACCATAATCTCTGAAGATCCATTTGGCGTCGATGTAATTAGTTTGGTATTTCTTTTAATTCTCCCACTTTTATTAAAGGGCCTTTGAAATGAAAGCCTCCTACCTTTACCTTCATCAGGGAGAATCCACAAGAGAGCTGTAAATGGGTTAATATTCTCTTTTACCCCTCACAACAAAGTTTCTATGTTTTCTTGGTTCTTTTTTTAATTGGGTTTCCAAATGCTTTCAATTTTCTATGGATCATATATCTGTAGATCAAATTCATCTTTAGGGAAAATAGTGACAGGAAAATTGCTTTGGTTTATCTTGTTCAGATTTCTGCAGCTTTAATTGATAATTTGTGGCTAAGTTTGTTATTCTTGCTTAGTATTCCTATTATGAGATTATTTAGTCCTAATGATTATCATTTTTACTGTTCTTTGTGGATCTCAAAGCTATCAGAGAATGGCTGAGGGATTTTTTGGTTGACCTATTGGCTGCCCATTTTTTCTATCGAAATCAAATTCAAAAGAATGTGTGACATATTTTGTATCAAGATGAGCTTCAATATTCTTAAAATTTGTATGAAAATTAATGTTATTTGTGTTATCTCCATCTCAATTATCATATAGTTTTATCATTATTATAGTAATGCTAATAATAGTAATACTAAATATTCTACTATATTAAGTATAGTGTCAACATATAATTTTAATATTAAAATATATGCAAGATTGTAATATAAAGTAAAACTTGCATATAAATTCATATAATGAAATATAATTGTAATAAAATAATACTTTATAAAATATCATATTAATTACTTTCTCAATATAAATCATAGACCCTTATACTTCTTAAATACTTTATATATATATACATCAATACTGTTGGATCGACATTTAAATGAAGTAGAGTAATTTACATTTTCATTTATCACATCAATTAGGGCTTTACATCAATACAGTGGATCTACAATTATGTTTTTTTAATTATAATTTTATATCATTAATATATCTTAAATTCTGTCAGACTATCTCAAAAATATTCAAATAATTATTTTTTTAACCAAAAGTCTATTCCACTGAGATATGTGAAATTCTCTCTACACAATCTCTCAAACTAATCTTTTGCACAAACATCCCGAAAGGATATGTGACATTTATTTATTATATAATTCTGCTTACCTCTACAAATAGAGAAATTATTCTTTATGGACACCGAACGAAAAGAACCGTCCAAATTTATTACGCTTTTACTGTCATTTTACTATGTTTTGGCGAAAGAATAGCAAAATTGTAGAAAATATTCAATTATGAATGTATTTTTATTACACTTTTGATGTCCTTTTATAAAAATACAATAAATATTTAATTATTTAGTAAATATTAAATATTTACTGCACTTTTATTGCTCTTGTGCAAAATCACAACAGAAGGACAATAAAAATGCAGCAATCCAAACAATTTTCTCCATCCCGTGTCTGCACAAAATAATTCATCCTACAAATAGGCCATGGGATATGCGGCATAAAAAACCTTTTTATATAATTCTCTGCCCTTCGATCCAAAAACTTTTATTCCACTAGTTCTGAACCAATAATTTTAATCTTCATGAATAAGAGAATAAAATTCTAAATAAAAGTTGGTTTTACAAATTGCAATTACTTTCCTGCCTACAATTTCTGAACCGAACATTCACAATTGTAACCTTACAACTGCAAATAACAAAATTTCTGAGAATGTTAACCTATTATTTACGCAGCATGCTTTCCGTCTATGAAGGCATGCTTAAGATTTCTCCATTTCAAAAAAAAAAAAAAAAACATAGCCCACATAGTCCTTCCCATGAGCAAAAACAAAACAACCATCTTCTTGAGCTCACTGGAGCTTTTATCCCCGACTAACACCACTTGTTGCCTGGATGGAGCATAAAGCATGTCTGCAGCACAGGCCATTAGGGGAACTGCCATGCTCTGTTCTTTCAAACGGTCCTCAAACACTGCCTGTAGAATTCGAGTAACATGGAGAAATCATTTGCAGCAAGAGTGTAAAAATTTTGAACTGCGAAATTTAATAGACTTTTTTTTTGAAGATTATGTGACACCGGATCGGAGGGGGCTCGACGAATCCATGTCGATGATCTGGTTTCCGTGGCCGGATAACTCCAAAAACTTCTTGGAGGAAGGATCCACCACCTAAGAGTCACTCTTAGGATATAGGAAAACAAATAAACTAAACTCAATTCAAATCTTATTCCAATCCATCATATTACAAGACACTTGCCTATATTTATAGACTTCAGATAGCCACATAATAGGCTACACAAGAGATAGAGATACACCAATCACTAATAAAAAAAATACAATTTATTTATATGGACGCTCCTACGTCATTATGATCAGGGAAACAATTTAAGATTTATTTCATAGACATGTACTTGTAAACCTGCTTTAGAATGCTCTACATTTACAGGTGTCAACTGTACGATACAGTTAGCAGATCTCATGTGTGTAATCCAGTTGGGACAAATGGTATTGAATCCACAACCTTCTTTCAAAACCATCATGGCTTTCATGGATTCAAATCCAACCGTCCAAAACGAATAAAATGCCTGAGATGGGGTTCAAATGCACCATGCAGTTAAAGCATTAACTGTAAGAGGATTTGAATCCTTAAATGTCCTAATATTAAAAGCCAAGCTAAGGAACTCGAAACAATTTTCGAATACTCTCTTGTTGTAAATAAGTTTTTTCATCTTCCGTGGACAAATCTGAATGTTAGTTCTGCATGAAAAGATGTTTTTAAGGAACGTAGCTGTAAGAGTTGTGAACAAAGCTGTAGAGTCCTGTATTTCTTTCATGTGAACGTAGCTGTAAGAGTTGCTTCCATAGCCAAACATTTGATGAGAACATTTGGCATGATAGTTATGTTTAGTAATGACGAATTAAATTTGTTTTCTATAGAAAGATAACTACAATACTAATAATCAAAGTAGCAAATCATGAACCGGAAGATCATTAATCCGTAACAAGAACTTGTAAGAAAATGACAGAAGATCTAAATAAGGCTTGATGGAACTATCATGGAATATCATAGCTGATCAGCAACCAAAAAGTATTAAGTGGTGCAAAGTTAAGAGTTTTAACATCAAAATTTGATATTTAGACGACTAAAATCAGGTAATACCAGAAGATGTTCAGCATTCCGTTTGTAATATTCTGACAGGCCACCAACAAGCATGGAAGAAAGTCGGATGAGGTTGATAGCCGAAATTGAGTTTCCTGATGGCTCTGCTCCATCATAATCCTCTTTCACTCGAAGCAAGACAGAAGGGTCACCTGAAGTATTGAAATAACCTCCACCTTCAGCATCCAGAAACAAGTCATCCTGTAGAATGCTACCTTACATGAATGCAAAACCACAGAAAGTGCTTAAGAGAACCAATCTTATTGGTTGGCTTGCCTGAGTAGCTTGCAGTTCAATTGCCCAAACCAACCAGTTGATTCTACCACTACATTCATAAAGATCCAGCAAAGCTGAGATTAGAAAAGCATAATCATCTAAGAAACCAGGTGCACTTGATGGAACATTTCTGAAGCTATGCTGCAGCCTTTTCGTATGATAATCATAGAGTTTACTCTTGATGAAACGAGCTGCTTTCTCTGCAGCCTCCAGATAATCATTTGGCTGTACAAATTAGTTAAAACATTACAAAAGATGCCATTCAAGCACTGCATTAGAAAACAAACTGAAAAACAGCAAGCAATCTAAAAGCATCAAGCAATAGAGCATATCAAATGAATTATTATTTTCCTCTTTCTCTCTCATTTAATAAACTACAATTTTCTATAAAAAAGCTCCAACGTTTCAGCTGGTGGTGCTTGGTGGTTAGTGGAAGTGACGGCCAGTGGCGGTTGGTAGCAACGGATGGCCGCTGGTAGCGACGGATGGCGGCTGACAGCGGCGCGTGGTAGCGACTGGTAGAGTAGGGCGGTGGTGGCTAGTGGCTTGCAACAAATTGTGGCGGTGGCCGATTGTCACAATAGACAGCCGTGTTGGCGGTTGACGGTGATAGGTGGTGGTGGCCGACAAGGGCGGTGGCGAGTGGTGGTGATAGGTGGTGGCGGTTGGTAGAGGGTGGTGGCAATAGATGGAGGGTGGGGGTGGTCGGCACTCGACAGTGACAGTGATGTGACACGTGCCCTCTGACTAGGTGATTTTTTACGCAAAATGGCACCATTATATTATGATTACGGCCAAAGCCCGTATGTTCCCTAATGGTTAAAAGCCCTTTGAGTAAGGAATTTTACCAAGATGAGAATGACATATATGTATTCCTCAGCTTGAGGAGTGTTAAATCTCAGTTGTCCCTTAGCCCTTGATCCCACGGCCATTATGGGGATTTTTGGGAGGCTCACCTCGATCACACTATTAAATCTCAGCCGTCCCTTGTCCCTTGATCCCACGGCCAACATGGGGATCCATGGGAGGCTCACCTAAATCACGCCGATCTCCTTCTATATTTGGATGGCTGGTTTAGGAAGGATTATATTAAGGCAATTATGGATGATTTTGTAGTTATTTGTTTCTTAACTAAGACATCTTGTATAGATCTATAAATAGGGATAATTTTTTTATAATAAAATTAAGCATTTTTCCTCCCCAGTTCTCTGAATTTAACATAAAATTGTAGCCTATTTAACGACTAGCCTTAGTCAAAAGTTCTCTCTCGTTATCGGGAGGGGTAATTAACCATAAGGGCTTGTGCCTATGCGAAACCAGAACTCAGATCATACAGTCCTTGCAAAATGAGGGAGAAATTTCTGGATAGTGTCTTATCTTGAAAATATATCCCGTAATCTAAATATGTTAAAACTCTCCAGTTTAAAAAGAGGCACATAGAGGTTGGGGCACGAACTTTCGGAGCCCACAATTACATGCAACAACAACAACATCACGCCTTTATCCCACTACGTGGGGTCGGCTACATGAATCATTTTTCTCCATTGTGTCCTATTAAAGGTCAAATTCTCGTTTAAATTTAATAAAAAAAGGTCATTCATAATATTTTCTAACCAAGTCTTTTTAGGTCTGCCTCTACCTCTCTTAACATAAGTCAAATCTAATAACTCTACTCTCCTAACCGGGTCATTGGAAGGCCGCCGTTTTATGTGACCAAACCATCTAAGGCGACTCTCTCTAATCTTATCTTCTACTGGAGCTACTCCAACCTTTTCATGTATATGCTCATTTTGTATCCTATCTCTAAGGGTAAAGTCACTCATCCACCTGAGCATCCTCATCTTTGCCACACTTAACTTAGTATTATGCTTCTCTTTTAATGGCCAACATTTAGCACCATAAAGCATTGCGGGCCTCACTACCATCTTATAGAATTTTCCCTTAAGTTTGAGGGTACTTTTCTATTACACAACAAGCCCGATGCATTCCTCCACTTCAACCATCCAACTTGATATCTGCTGTAATATCCCCATCTATTTCACCATCACTTTGAACAATAGATCTAAGATATCTAAAACGTGTACTCTTATTAATGACTTGATCGCCCAAAGTCACAATCCCCTCACTAGGTCTATTACTACTAAAATCACACTCCATATATTCCGTTTTAGATCTACTCAAGAGCGAAAACTTTTAGTCTCTAATGTTGACCTCCATAATTCAAGTTTACTTTCAACTCCCTCTCTAGTCTTATCAACAAAGAATTTACCAACTTGAGAATTCTTGTTGCAAAATAATTATACATAGACTCCACATTCCTTGGTTAGTAGATATAGCTAGCATAAAATGAATTTCATTTGATTCCAGATAATTATCAGGTTCACATTTAATTCTAACACAAGAAAAACCAAGAACTCAAAAATCCGCGTATTTGGTTTCTCCGTGAATGCAAGTCTGAAAATATGGCCTCATATCAACAGTCTCGAATCAATTTGCTTTAGTCCTATCAATAGAAAAGATTGGCATCAACAATGCCTGATATAGTCCAGAAAAAAAAAGAGGGGCGCTACAGCCCAACATCAACGCAATGCAAGCTTACTAACATAAGATGTTTCATTTATGTAAAACTATAATCAATGTGAGGCTTGAAAGCATCTTGGGCTGGTAATGTACCCCACTCCCCCAACCACCATCCACCATCCACAATCCAGCACTCATTTGTGTCTTTTTGTTAGTTTGGACTCTTTTGATGATGTAACATAAGTTTATTCTCTTGCAAAACATCTATATTTAGGATTTACTTCATTCCGGTCATCCCTCAAAAACAACGGGACTAAAAGAAATTGTATCTGAGCAGTTGTATTCCAACCTCGATCATGTTGGATGTGGTGATTCAGCAGTATACTAGAGACTTGTTCCACTTTTGAATGAATAGGCTCAAGCAGAAAAGTATAGGAAGACAACTAAATAAGGACAAGAAAATAAATCGCAAGTCCTTCAATCATCTCACAAAACATACTGCGTCTTAGGATGCTTTTCACTGAAAGAATAGTTTATAGAATTTCACCCTTTTTTATCTTCTATTCTTGGATTTAATAATCATGTGGCCCTATAACAATATAAATCACTGAATGAACTAAGAGGAAAAAAAACTTACATCGCATCCAATAATCGGGAAATGGAATTTTGTTTCTTTTGGTTCCGCCTCAAGAATTTTTGAAGCTCTTGCAAAGGATGAAATTGCAAGCCCGTTCCATGAAACAATAACCTAAAAAAACAGAGCATCTAGTAAGCAGTATTTAGGATTAATTTAAAAAAATAAAAGAGAATCACATGAACATACGATATAAAGTAGTACCTTATCATCTAGATGCGGCCTAGGTCGACGAGATCGTGCATCAAAAAGCTTTTTTCTGCAAATCCCAAGAATTTGAGCATATTCATCAGCTGAAATGCCTAATTTCGATGCCCTGAAAAAGACATCTTTTCTTTCGAAAAGTACATTTTTTCCCTTAAACTCATTATGGGGATCGCTCATCCTAGAAAGATCACAATTTCCAGAAGTTTTGATATAATAATGCGTCTTGAATAAATCTGCATGATCTCCTAGTATCTCTTCAACCTAGAAGAATATAGTTAATTAGAAATCACAACAAAATTAACTAGCTGTAAAATGAAGCCAACCAACCTCTAGCACTGCTTAAAATTGGCTTAAACATACTTTTGGAGAAAGGAGCATTCAAAAGAAAAATTAAAAATATGCATTGTTATCACACAACAATTATGCGGATAAATTCAACACATATCACGAACAAACTAAATCTGAATTCTAAATAGATGTCAACAATCGAGTTGATCCATGTGGAAGAAAATTATAGATTTCATCTTTTTCAGGCGATAAGCAAAAAAATCAATAATAATAATAAAAAAAAACTAAAATGAGTGTGGGCTCCGAAAATTCGGCCCCGGCCTCCGCCCGCACACTTTGTGCTTTTTCTTTTCGACGAGGGAGTTTTAACGGAATAAGTTCCTGGGAAATTTTGGAAGGTAGATGAGTTTGTAGATAAGACACTACCCAGAGATTTCACCCTCATTTTGCGAGGACTTTATGATCTGAGTTCTGGTATCCTATAGACGCAAGCCCCTATAGTTAATTACCCCTCCCGATCACGAGAGAAAACTTTCGATTAAGGCTAATCGTCAATCAAATACGTAGAAAGTACGTGTTATCTGGCATATAGTAGTAGCATTGTTTGGATTTGGAAGTTTGAAGGTTTGGATGTTTGGAAAATTGATATTTAAAATAGAAATTTTCACCATCTTGTACTTAAAGCGTATGGTGGGGAAATGGATGATGGACCCGATCAAGATCCCGTGGTTCTGTCGTCCCGGGCCATCATGGTCCCTGGTCTACTTAGTCAGAGGAGGTAATCGACCCAACCTGACAGAAGGATCCTTGTCGGCAGCCATGGGTTGCTTCGTCCAAGGGTACCTTGTAGACCTGGGTGGGTATTTGTCTAAGGGGTCAAATTTGAATCTACCTTAGCTAACAGAGGGCTTTGTGCCCTATCGATTATATCCTATTGATTCATATCTCAAGGATTTGATGCCACTAAGGAGTGTATTGGCTCTGGCCATAATCGGTATTTAGTGGTGCCATTTGGCAGCAAAACCACTCGGTTCAGAGGGCCCCGGGTCATAACCGTTTATCCTGCGGTGCCATTTGGCGGCAAAACTGCCGGTTAGAGGACACGTACCACGTCCTTACTGGAAGAAGATTGGTTTGAGAATGGATCCTAGTGACATTTTCGACTAGGCATTTGGCTCTTTGTGAGCTGAAGTAAATTTGAATTTGTCCGCCGGCCTGCAAGGCTCCTCCCGCCGGCCAATCCTCCACCAGCAGCCGCCGGCCAGCTCCAGCCCGCCGGTCCCCTCCCACCTTGCCGCCGCCTCCTTCTCCCCCTCTTCTTTTGAATTTCAAATATGAAATTTAGGAGTTTCATTAGCCATTAACTGTTTCCTAAATTGCCTCCTTAATTCAAGCAATCAAAATAAATTGAAATTGAATTTCGAATTTGAAATTCAAATTCAATCCAATTGATTGTTTTAATTTAGGAATCTTCCTTCCTTATTAAATCTGAAATTTTAATTTCGGATTTTGTAAAATCTGAAATTAAATTGGTGGTCCTCACTCTCTCAAAACTCATCCCCTCTCTCCTCCTCATGTGGCCGGCCCCTTAATGGCCTCCCCTCCCTCTCCAAATCACATTAATGACTCCACAAAATCAGCCCAACTTTCTCCCAATTGAATGAGCAATAATCCTCCTCTTTAATTTGGGAATTCAAAATTGGATTTCACTTAATTTTCCCTCCCAAATCACTTAATCTGAAATTGAATTTCAGATTTTCATTCTCTCCCCAAATTGATTTGGGATTTAATTAGTCTTGCCACCTAGGCAAGTAAATGGCGTTTCCGTTTCACATCAGTTGCGGAGGGTGGATGAAGTTTTCTTTGAGTGATTGATGGATGATTTCAAATTTAAATATCCTGAAATTTGGGATTTGTTGGATTTTGGACTTTGTGGAGTTTTGGATTGTGGGTATTTGGGTGGAGCTTGAATGATATTTGAAATGTTTGGAATGGACTCCTCCAATTGAGATTTACATTCAACACGGCCATCATCGGGGTGTTTGGGGGCATTTCCACTTTCTAGATTGAACCTTGTCGACTTTGTCTACTGGTCGACAGAGGATCAGGTTTCATGGGTTTTATGTCTTTATTAGTGGATTCTCTTGATTATAGGCCTTGAAGGCCTAATATGAATGTATTAAAACAAATACACTAGTCGTCACAACCGTGTATTTGCTTGAAGGTTCGAACCCCGTCGACTCCTATTGATCCGTATAGAAGGATCGGGTTCGAATTAGAATTCACTTATTGACCCGCGCAGCATCCCTAGACGTCACATGTGTACCAATAACATATTCGTCGGGGCCCATGCGGGTGTTTGGGGGGCATTTTATAATTGAACCCTGCCTACTTCTTTTTACCTGCTTAGGAGGATCAGGTTCAAATTTAATAATCCGTGCAGCATCCCTAAACGTCACGTGTGTACCAATAACACGCTCGTCGGGGCCCATGCGAGTTTTATAATTGCTTTTACCCCTTTTAGTGTACCTATATGTATACAAACTACGGTGCACGTGTGGGGGTACTTTGAAAGTACTTGTAGACGCCTTCTGTCCGGTTGCATAGAAGTTGTGGATCAGGTGGCGTGGCGTAGCAGCTTCTGAATAGAGTTGTTCGCTGCTTCATACAGGTAGACTGTCATGCACTACTCGTTGCTTTCTGCAGGTGGAACGTAGCGCACTAACTAATCTCCTGCCTCGAGTTTTGTCGATGCTTTGCATTCATTATACATTAATCGTCATCACATAAATGGACTACTGTATGATTGAAAACTCTTCAATATTTGTTTGTAGGTAACATGTTGCACCTATGAAGGGTCTTCGACAGCAATCTATAAGAATTTGTATTTGTTGCAGTCTTGCGACATTTCTGCTATCACTACTTGCGAGTAGATTAACATGCTTGTATGCAAATCGACATTGATTGATTTGCTTGTGGATGTTAGCTTCAAGCATATATGACTATTGATAAATCACCATATTCACTGCATATTCCTTGTATGCATTATGACCCTTCATTCTCACTTTTGAGTAGCATATAACGTACATTGTGATCTTTTGTCGTCATTTGCTTGCTAGCTTTCTTCCAATGTTGGTTGTTGTCATTTGAGGGAGTATAGTGTATTTGTTTACACTTGAGTGACATCAGTTGTGTATGAGCCTTAGTGTTCTATCCATGAACACACTAATACACTATTGTAATCAAGTTGTTTCCCCTCGATATTTGCAAGCATGCTGCATTTATTGTGTATAACAACTAACAGGTCACTATGCCCATTATATTGCTCGAAGGTTTATAACATGAATAACAATATTATCATTATTGTCATTTGACATTTGGATTAGCATAATCATCATGGACGGATTGTATCATTCATTGGAGACTCCTTTCGTTAATGATTTCCAACTCCCTCGAATGAACTTGTGGATCTACTAACATGAACATTAGGTCACACATTTTTTATGTGTAAGTTGAAAGTCCTTTGTTGTTATGAGTTCAATTCATTGTAGTCACAAGTTCAAGCTTAGTTCGTTGAAGTTAGTATGCAAGCCTGCAAATCTTCATTATCTGATTCGAGCCAAGCTCATGCCTAGATCCCTTGTGGTCTTCTTGAGTTCAGACTCCATTCAAATTCAAATACAAGTTCTTGAGTCTATATTGCTCAATCGAGTCCAAATATTATGTTGTTCTTTGAATTCAATCAATTTCTTTTATATTTTCAAATTCATTTGAAGTTTGAGCTCAAGTATTGCATGATTGTTCATAAATCAAGTTCTAATTCATATTCTTTGTAGTCAATTTTGCATGTCCAAGCTCATATTCAAGTCCTTGTAGTCTTGTTAAGTTCAAGTTCTTCATCATTTGTCCAAGTTTGATTTGAGTTTGAATTAAGCTTCTTGCACATTTTCATTTGGGTTCAATTGTTTATTAAGTTACTTAGATCTTGTTCAAAAGTCCAAGTACAAATCCTCCGTTGTTCTTTTGAGTTCAATCAAGTCCAGGTCCCAAATTGTTCCAAGTTCATGTCATATTTCAGACAAATTTCGGCAGCCTTCCGGCGTCTCCCCCGTTTAGGGGAAAACTATGGAAAACTGGGCCTTTCCCACCACGTTGAGAAAAGCGTGTATGGTAGGTGCCCTCTTTCGAGGACACCGCAGCCGTGTAATTTTTGATCCCCCACCACGCTAAGAAAAGCGTGTATGGGTATTTTTTTTTAAAAACATTTTGCAAGAAAATCATTTTTTGAAAGTATTTTGCCAGAACAGCAGTTATTTCCCTGCAAGCGGGTACTTATGGGTATCCCCGCTTCGTCGTGCGCATCACACCGGGATCCCTTCCCACCACGCTAAGAAAAGCGTGTATAGGCAGGGTTTCCAAGGCGATACGAACTTCGAAGAAGGAATTTGGGTGATTACCCGCTTTGTCGCAAGCGTCAGGACGCACTCCCTCCCACCACGCTAAGATAAGCGTGTATAAATGGTCGTTTTATCTCGCCGCATGCATCGAAACAAGTTCTCAGAGTTTTAGGGTTTAGAAGTGGTTATACCTGCGCGGGGTTGTAGATGTTGGCGCGTGGTTCGAGGATCGAGGGAGAAAGAGGGTGCATCATTTTGCATTTCATTATAATTTATTTATAATTAATTAATCAATAATAATTAATTAATTAATTACAATTATAACTAACAAATAATTAATTATAATTAATGATGATTAATTATAATTAATTAGATAATTATAATTAGCAATTATTAATTAAGTATAATTGATTTATTAATTATAGTTATAATTAATTATAATTAACTCCTAGATCTCAAATTAGATTCAAATTCAAGATGATCTCCTCTCCCTCCTAATCCTCCTAATTAACAATAAAGGATTCCTACAAATTACCTAAACAGCCCTTTGCATTCAAAAATTTCCCTCCCACATAATTAAATCAGCCCCAAGTGGGGTCCACCTTGTCCGCCTCCTCCTCTGGGCATTTCCGCCCCCGCCTGGTGTAGACCCGGGCTGAACCGGGTCCAGCCGGCCCCTCCTGGGCCGGTTCACGCGTAACATTACTCCCCTCCCAAAAACTCACCTTGTCCTCAAGGTGAAATTATAACTAGTGAATAATTAATTATAATTAATAATGATTTATTATAATTAGTAATTAATAATTAATTATAATTAATTTATTAATTATAGTTATAATTAATTATAATTATAATTAATTATAATTAATAAAAAATTAATTATAATTAAATAAATAATTATAATTAATCATTAATTCATTATATTTAATTAATTAATTACACTTAATTAATAATTATTTATAAATACTAATAATTAAAATTAATTATAATATTATTTAAAAAAATTCCTTCTCTCCCCCTTTGGCATTTTCACGGGATTTGGCCAAAAGCGAACGAAAGGGAGAGAGTTACCTTCACAACCCGTGAGCTCTTGTTGTTATTTTCGATCCAACAGAGAAGGGAACGTCGGAGATGGAGCGAAGCCAAGCGGTAACGGAGTAGGTAGGGGAATCTCTCTTCCTCTCTCTCTCTTTCTCTCTCTCTCTCTCTCTGTGAAGAAGTTCGGTCGGGTCCGAGGGAAATGGCGTCGGGTTTTGATCGGAGGAGGAGCTTGGTCGGGTCGGAGGATGGAGTGTGAGGTCAGTCGAATTGGATGGAGAAGAGGTCAATGGGAGCTTAAGCGCGTGGAAGGGAGTTCGGTCGGGGGTGGAGTGAATGGAGGAAGCAGCGAACGAAGGCCTCGTTTTGAATCGGTATTTAACGACGTGCAAGGGAGCGAGATCAAGGAACTATCGCAGGATTTGGGCAGGATTCGTGGAGAAGAGACGCACACGGCGCCGAATTCAGCGAGATTCGCGGAGGGCTTCAGCAGATTTCGTGGATCCGCCGTGTATAAGGTATTTTTTGTCGTTGTTTTTGGTTCCTTTGGGTATTATTCAGAGGTCAACAATGAGAAAGTGCCTGATAGCAGTAATGCCAGGTTGAATTGTTATTACTTGATCTTACCTCTTTACTTGTCCATACATAGAAGGCCCCTTCTTTCTTTTTAGCAGAACCATCAGTCTCACTACTGTCAGCATCCTCAGCTGAAAAAATCTCACCATCTTCCCCAATCATGTCTCTCCTGAGATAATCAAGAATATCACGAGCTATAGAACAGTAAAAGGCATCCTTTGTAACCGTAAAAGTGTCCAGGAAGACATTAGCAAGCTGCCCTTGATCATACAGCATCTTCTCAAAATGTGGGACTGCAGGTGAACGTAAAATCTTTCAAAAAACTAAAAAGTAAAAAACATTAAAAGCATGTAAAGACAAGATTAAATCGCAATATAACATTTGTCATTAAATATAATAAAATTTCTCAGTTATGAAAACAAAAGATGCTTTTCTAAAAGATTGTAGTCCCATGTACAAATGGTGCTCTGACTTGAAGTCGTCTAGGTTTAAGGAAAAGCATCTCTAAAAGAAGTTTTTTCCTCCATCAGGAATAATAGCTAACATAGTGTTTATCACGTGAAAGACAGGACATAACAAAATTGCCAATTGTGTTTTGGCCAGTGGTTATTGCATAAGATGCCGCATAGTTAGTTTCTGTTACTCAAACCATGTACGCTGACTTGACTTTGCTTCAAAACGTTTTATTGATCCATGGCTTGCCTCTACCACCACATAAATAACGCACATATTTTCTTCTGGAACAACTTCACAATTGGTTGGGACCAATTTGATTAAATAATCTTGCGGGTCCTTCAAAACATTCAATGTACTGTAGATTATGAGTTCCTATTTTAAGAATCCTAAAAGATATAGGGGCTGTAATTTAGTATAATATGGAGTAATTAGTCCAACTTCTCCATATTATAGGATTACCATTTCCAAACTTAGAACTCATTTACTGAATTTTTAGATACAGATTGGTGACAAATGATACAAGCATTTTAGTTTAACCAAGCATGCCTAGATGACTAAAGCTAAAGCTGGACATGTTAGAGTCACCGCACACATCTTAATTAACTAACGCTTACCTTTTATTTTTCAAACAACTGCCTCCCTCCTTTCTGATTCTGATGATTAAATAAAACATGTTCAGCTTTCTCCCATAAAGAGTTAATCTAGGAATTTTCTTTTACTAATAGTTCCAACCACCAGACAGGTAACTAATGATGCTAGCACTCCAGTGTTACCAAACGCTTCTTGAGCTAAAGCTTGGTATTAGAGAGTAACAGCGTACAGTTTAATATAATCAATTTTTTTTCAGAACAGTCTCTTTTGCTTTGACTCAAAAGGGAAGAACTATAACATGAACAGTATTTTCTGAGAAATGAGAACAAAATAATCATCATTTTAACATTCAATCTCAAGTTGGTAAAAACCCCTGAACTCCTCATGCCTACGCCAAAACCAGTAGTGTTGGCTGTTTCACAGAACCCACGTTCTTGAAATAATATATAAGTGTTATCCAGGCGAATCAGATTTCCCGTAACATAAAATATGCCAACAGATCTGGCAACATTTAATGTTTCACCAAATTCTGTGTTAAAATATTTATTATACTTTATGAAAAAGCCATCTTTATCTGATAAGAATATTATAACAACAACATCAAACTTTTATCCCACTACATGGGATAGTCTACATGAATAGTTTTTCTCCATTGTCCTGTTAAGAGTGAAATTCTCATTTAAAGATAATAAAAAAAATGTCATTTATAATATTTTCTAACCAAATCTTTTTAGGTCTACCCCTACTTTTCTTAACATAGGTCAAATCTAAAATACATCTACTTTCCTAACCGGGTAATCAGAAGGCCGATGTTTTATATGTCTAAACCATCCAAGGCGACTCTCTAATCCCATATGCTACTATAGCTACTCCAATCTTTTCATGTATATACTCTTTTTGCATCAAAGAAGCCACTCATCCACCTGAGCATCCTCATCTCTGCAACACTTGATTTTATGTTTTTCTTTTACTGGCCAACATTATGTGCCATAAAACATTTCAAGAAAAAAAAAGAAGCCTATACTGATGCAGGTTGGGCAAATTTTAATACTAATAGAAGTCCATAACAGGTTATTATACCTATGTATGGGGCAACCTTAACTCATAAAGGAGTAAGAAATAGAATATAGTAGCTCAAAATAAATGCTGAAACTGAATATAGAGCCATGACTCATGTGATGTGTGAATTGGGGTTACAATGGATTTTGGTTGAACTACAATAATTATAAATTCTCTAATGAAACTATATTGTGCCAACAAGACTGTGATAAGTATAACCCAAATTTCTGTCCAACACAACATAACCACACATGTTGAGGTTAATCGTGACTTTATAAAGGAGATTTTTGAAGCATTAATTATTTGCATGCCTTTTATTTCTACCCCATAGCAAGTTGCATATATGCTTACTTAAAGACTGTTTTTTATTTTCCTCATCAGCAAGTTAGAATTGATTAATATCTACTCTCCAACCTGAGGAAGGATGAAATAAATAAGGAAAGACGGAATGCGATCAAATGTGGCATCAAGTTGATTAGGAAGAAAATGAAAGTATTCATTACATGGGGATAGTTCTCCAGAAGGAAATGAATGAATGGTTGTCACAATTAATTGGAATATTCTTTTCTATGTAAATTTTAAATTTGCATCTCGTTTTCTTTGGCAAGTATATCATATAAATTAAACTAGTAAGGATACCAAGTATCCTATAAATATTATAATGTTGTTCTTGATTAGTCAAAAGTCCTAAAAATTTATTTCACTCTAAATTTATAGAAAACTTGATCAGTGAAAAGCTTTCTGCAGAAAGAAAAACCATGCTTAAGTCAGAAAATAAAGGTAACTTAAAAAACTTTTGGAACTATCACAGAAACTCACCATGCCAACATTCATCTACACTGTATCTGTGAAATCCACCTCCAAGGTGATCATGAATTCCACCTCTAGCCATGCATTGCAATGTGTGAAGAACCATTTCCATGTTTTTGTTGCCTTCACTTACCCTCCCTTGTTCACGTAGTTTCATGGATTCATAAAGCATGAGGCATATCTCAACAGGCCTAGGGAACTTTGGCGCAGAGCCAAAGCCACCAAATTTTGGATCATATCTACTTGCTACCTAATGATTGTAGCCCAAAAAGCATAAATTCAGAGAAGATTGACAATAAAGGTATAGATAAAGATTACATGGCATATTTGCACTAAAAAAGCATACGACTAGGGATGACATGAATTTTTTAACTTCAGCTTGACCTCAAAATGTGATGTAGGACTAAATGCTTTTAAAGGGATGAAATAAGAATATTGCACGATTCTTTGTTTAGAACAATAAAGATGAAACCATTAGCAATTAAAACGACAAAATAAAATGAAAGAAGGGTGCCTACGCTTAGGCCAAGCCACTTGTTAAACACTTGGAAACTCAAAATAATTTAGAAATTCAACAACATGCTAAGTAAGTAAATTTTAACATCCCTAATCTAACAATAAGAATAGAAGCAAATAAAGTGTACTCAATCCCTACATTTACTATACTCGGCAGAGTTCAGTGAACAAGAACTTCATGAATCTATCAAATCACAAGAACAAGTTAGACAATGAAAATATGAGAAAAGGGAGATGGGTAAAAACCCTTAGCACGGTTGAGTTGCAATCCTCCATTGAATGGTGCCAAGTTGTTCTTCAATGGCCTCGACAAGGGTGTCCAGAATGCGCTCTATGTACTCTTCGACGGTGTTGTCGATGCGTGGGTTGAAGTCGAAAAAGGTCGAGTGAAGGATGCAAATAAACCCTTGTTTGTCGTAGGCTAGACCGTAATCAAGATCCAGATCGGCCATGCATCAATCTTGAAGTGTTGTCGTAGATGCTTCTTTGTTGCCTTTGCTGATTTCTCTTGAGAGAAAGGGGTTTCTTCAAGAATTCAAGTAGGAGAAGGCAAGGAAGGTGGCCGAGGGAAGGCTGAAATTACTTTCTAAATCAAAGTCCTTTGAGTTGGCAAGAATTTGAATAGCCTGGGGGGGAAGAGGGGCGGGTAAGGCTAGGCTGAAATTGGAGTTAATTCCAAAGAAATAGGGATAATTTTGGGAGGGAAAATAAGTGGCTGGGCCCTTGGGAATTTCGGCCAAGAGAGGGAGGGGGGGCCAAGTGTCTAGATGCAATGTATTTGAAGTTAAGGCTTTAATTAATCAATCCATCATGATTTGATTGATTGAATTAAATAAGAACCTTTCCCAAAATAGGATTAAGAGAAACGGAAAGATTTGAAATTTGGAGTTAAGGTTTTAATTAATCAATCCATCATAATTTGATTGATTAAATTAAATAAGAACCTTTCCTAAAATAGGATTAAGAAAAAAGGAAAGATTTGAAATCTAAAATCGATTTATTTCAAATTCAAATCATTTCTAAAAATAAGTTGACTTAAATAAGGAAAGTGGGGGTTTTAGGAAATAATTTGAAAATGCAAGATGGGGGGGGGAGGTGCACCAAGTGAGGGGGGTCCCTTCCATACAACACCTTGAATGGAGTCATCTGTGCAGCTGAGTGAAAAGAGGTGTTGTACCAATACTTCGCCCAAGGTAGTCACTTGGCACAAAGTTTGGGTGTCTCCGACACAAAACATCTCAAGTAGGTCTCCACGCTCCTATTGACCACCTCTGTTTTGCCATCTGTTTGTGGGTGATAAGCGGTACTCCTCTTCAGAATTGTCCCCTGTAATATGAACAATTCTCTCCAAAAATGACTGAGGAACACCTTATCTCTATCTGACACGATCGCCTCTGGTACGCCATGCAATCTGACCACCTCTCTAATGAAAGTTGAAGCCACTGTCACCGCGGTGTAAGAATGTCGAAGAGGAATGAAATGAGCATATTTGCTCAATCTATCCACTACCACCAATATCACAATGAATCCCTCAGAACGGGGCATCCAATCAATGAAGTCCATAGATGCATCCTCCCAGACTCGTCCTGGTAAAGCCAATGGCTGCAGTAACCCCCCGGGTGACATAGCTAGGTACTTATTACTTTGGCAGACTTCGCATCTGGATACCATCTCTTCCACATCCTTGTGCATCCCTCTCCAATAAAGTTCTGCCGCCAGTCTCCTGTAGATCTTTAACACTCCTGAAGGACCTCCCATTGCAGTCCCATGGAACTCCTGGAGCAACTGTGGAATGTAAATTGATGTTCTGGTTAACACAAATCTCCCCTGATACAACAATCTCTCCCCCTCCAATATGTATCCTGGATGGTTGCCCTCTCCCTTTAGTAAGTCAATCATGATCCTGCCTAGTTCTTCATCCTTAGCACTCTCCTCCCTGATGGCCTCCCAATCTAGCATCATTGGGACTGATACAGCCACTGTCTGCAGCTCCCCCATGCATCGGGACAGGGCATCTGCCGCTTTGTTCTCCACCCCTGCCCTGTACTGAATCTCAAAATCATACCCCAATAGTTTAGATAGCCACCTCTGATGCTCTTCTATTACCATTCGTTGTTCCAACAAGTATTTCAATCTCTGTTGGTTGGTCCTAACTATGAAATGTCTTCCGAGTAAGTAGGGGCACCACTTTTAGATGGCCAACACAATTGCCATCAATTCCCTTTCATAGACAGATTTCAGTCGGGCTCTTGCCGTCAGCACCTGACTGAAGTAAGCAATGGGCCTATGATTTTGCATCAACACTGCTCCTAAACCATACCCCGATACATCTGTTTCTACTACGAAGACCTGAGTAAAATCCGGCAAAGCTAAGACCGGTATTGTGGTCATGGATTTCTTTAACTTCTCAAATGCTGCCGTGGCGGCCTCCCCCCATAGAAATCCATCTTTCTTAAACTGCTCAGTGAGTGGTCATGCTATAGTACTGTATCCCTTCACAAACATTTGGAAGTATCCTGTCAGCCCTAGGAATCCCCTTAATTCTTTTAGATTTTTAGGCAGTGACCACATTAACATGGCTTCAATCTTGGACTGATCTGTGGCTACCCCCTCTTTAGATACCACGTGCCCCAAGTACTCTACACTAGCTTGTGCGAAGCAGCACTTCTTCAGGTTAGCCATCAACTGGTGCTCCTGAAAAATCTCTGACACCTGCTTCAAATGCCCCCAATGCTCGTCCTCTGTCCTGTTATACACTAGGATGTCATCAAAGAATACCAAAACAAATCGCCTGAGGTACGGTTTGAAGACCGTATTCATGAGTGCCTGGAACGTGGCTGGGGCATTGGTGAGGCCAAAGGGCATCACTAGGAACTCATAGTGTCCCTTATGAGTTCTAAAGGCGGTCTTGGGTACATCCTCCTTCATTCGAATCTGATGATATCCTGATTTCAAGTCAATCTTACTGAAAATTACTGTTCCACTCAATTCATCCAACAGCTCATCAATAACTGGTATAGGAAACTTATCAGGTACAGTTTCCTTGTTGAGTGTGCGGTAGTCTACACAGAAGCGCCAGCTGCCATCCTTCTTCTTCACCAATAGAACGGGACTAGAGAACGGGCTAGTGCTAGGCCTGATGATCCCTACTTCCAGCATTTATCTGATCAGCTTTTCTATTTCGTCTTTCTGAAACTGAGGGTAATGATAAGGTCGTACGCTGACAGACGACACTCCCTCCCTCAATATGATGGCATGGTCCTGTTCCCTGGGTGGTGGTAACCCTAGAGGTGGTTGAAAAACCTCATAGAATTCTTGGATCAAAGGCTGTACAGATAGGGGTATGTCTTCCCCTTCCCCCAAATTCACTCCCTCCAATCTGTGTAATTCCACCAAATAGCCTCCCCCCTCCTCCTAAATGGTCTTGATTAGGGATTTGAGAGAAACCCCTGCCTTGGTCAGTCCCGCATCACCTTGAATCACCCTCTTCCTTCCTCCCCTCACCAACTTCATCCTCAGAGTACCTCAATTTCATCATCACCCTATAGCCTCCTATATCTACTAACTCCATCCCCATCAGCTCCACAATCTGGGTGGAAATGAAATTGTGGGTTGCCCCACTATCGATCAACACCACAACTTCACGGTCAGCTATCTCTCCTTTCACCTTCATAGTGTGACTCGTAGTGAATCCCACTACGGAGTTAAGAGAGACTTCTGTCACATCCAGATGCAGCTTTTCCTCCACCTCAGAACCGCTCCCTCCTCCCTCTTCGTCTTCCTCGTCTTCACAAACAAGGAGAACTTGAAGAGTTTGATCCTTGCACTTATCCCCTGGCATGTATTTTTCATCACATCGGAAACACAACCCTTTTGTTATCTTCTATTGCATTTCCTTCTCAGTAAACTTCTTGAATTGCCCCCCATTTCCTCCTCCTGTTGCTTTTTCTTTCGAGACTTCTTTCATCCCTCCTGTGGACGCTCCCTTAGAGGCTAGGTGAGTAGTCGTCCACCTGTAAGTGCCTCCTGAGCTGCTATTCCTAGCTCTCTTCTCCAAATTTTTTTGATTTTCGACCAATTGTGCAAGCTTCATGGTCTCCCCCAGATCCCTGGGCAGCAGGACCTTCACTGCTGCTCTAATCTCTGTCTTTAACCCCTTCATGAAGTTCCCCTCCAACACAGTATAGGACAAGCGCTCTACCCTGCTGGCCAGATGCTCAAATCCCTCCCGGTAGTTCGCCAAAGACTTCTCCTGCACTAGGGCAAAGAATTGCTCATAGAAGTCTCCTCGGTCGATTTGGAAACGCTCTATCAAATTGTCCTTGAATTCTTTCCAGCTCCGGATGGGACTCCTCTGATCTCTCCACTAGTACCAATAGAGTGCCTTCCCTTCAAGACATAAGCCCGCTGTCGATAATTTCTCCTCCTCCGTTAAGCCGTTAATGACAAAGTACCTCTCGACCTTGTAAATTCACCCATAGACATCCTCCCCTTAAAAAATGGGCATTTTTAATTTCCTCACCTTCTGATCCCCGCCATTTCCCCTTAATCCTCCATAATTTCACCACCCGATCAAATCATGCAAGTAGTGACAAGCAAAGACTGTATATCTGCCATATATATATATATATATATATATATATATATA